TTATGTATATCAAAAGTCCCCAAGTAATTGATATGGGTTGCCTCTGTTTATGCCTTGGGTTGCGTTGGCCGTGAGTCTCTTTGGCCCTATTTTGCCTTGACCAAAAGTCTTGGTGGCTATACCCCCCTCTATTGACCCCGACCGTGAGCATTTCTCTGGTTCTATGGGAAGATTTTATGCTTATTTGATATATGAGGCTATTGGTTAATTTGGAAGTTGAAGATCCTAATTTTTGTATGTATTTGGAAATACTAGTGGTGGTTTCCCTGGGGTCACTTTCCTTTTGCTTGATTTATGAAGTTCGGGAGATTTTCGAATGTTTGGCTGAGAAGAATTGATTTCACAAAAGATATCTTTGGGGTTTGGATATCGGCGTTAGGAGGTCAACTTGACTCGGGTTAAACCATTTATAAAAATGTGACAAAGTGATATCCTTTCAGATTGATTCAAGGATCTTCGGGTCGTCCTTTTCAGGTCTTTTTTGTCATGAGTTTTGAGAGCTGATTCATCCTCCATTCTTTTCGATGTTTTAGGTGGATCAGTCCCCTCCTCTCTCTCACCCCATTTTTGTTCTTTTTTTTTTCCTTGCTTCTTGGTTCGATTTTTGATGCTTATGTCCGATACATAAGTGTCTATGTATAGTCTTTTGCTACACGTGAAACCATCAAGCAAGGTCGCAAGTAGGTCGGTTTTGTTTTGGGGCTTAGGGCGGTGATGACAAAGACACACCGGAGATAGAACAAAATGATATGTCATCCTACGACATCGGGATCCGATTCAGGAACCCAGTGAGCTGTAGGGGATGACAGTATCTTTCCCCGACACAAGACTAGCGGGAGTTGACCCGAACCTTCTTAGGTTGTTGGTAGCCTTATGCTCGATTCGTGGACAATTACTTTTCAAAATTGATAAAAACAAATTTGATAAGAACAGATACACCTTTTTTCTAAAATAAAAATACCTTTTTCGTTACAAATAAAATTGATACAACCCCACTTTTTGCATGTTTGAAACCTATGTACATGCTGAAAATATAAATTTTAAATACATTTTAAACATCGATTGTCTACTTGTTGATCACCTGTTTAGGCTAAGGAGCACCCTCCTGAGTTAGGTTCGACAGGACACTCTTCTAGTTGCGGGCTTTATACATCCGGGTGACCGAGTAGCCTTCGACGACCCTCGAGTACTAATATATAGTTGAGCCTAGCCCCGACCCGAGTGCTTGTGGTCACCCTCTTTTCAGACTTTTTCATATGTTTTTCCTGGAATTTTTTGGACAAAGCACTCATGGTCTTTTTTCGGAATTTTCTCATATTTTCTACAATTTTAATCGATTTGTCGATTCGTCGATTTCTTTGCATTTCTCTTGTCGTGAGTCTTTTGACGATCTTTCTTGAGATTTCTGGAAGATGTTTCTTTGTTTTCGTTTATATAAAATATTTCAGTCTGTTTACTTAAGTTTTATTGCTTGTACCTGTTGCATCAATTACACCTAAGGAACAACGGATCTCCCAGGTATACAGGTTTGTTTTATGTTTACAACATTTTACTTTCTTGTAAATCACCTACTTGTTGCATTTTTTTTTAACTTTTCCTTTACCCCGCATGCTGTACTGTTCTCTCTACTGCATACTCTACTGCTTGTCCTGTGTTACATATTCTACTGTTATGCTATATACTATACAACTTCAACATGTTCCCTGTAAAATATCTGAAGAACTACAACCATAGGGCCACTGGATTTGACATTATAACATGACACTCTAGAAAACTTAAACTCGTCATGACAAGGAGCTTGAAACTAGCGCGACAGGCAACACGATCATAGGGCCGCTGGATTTGACATTATAACATGACACTATAGAAAACTTAGACTCGTCACGACATAGAGCTTGAAACTAGCGCGGTGGGGCAGCACAACCATCTTCAACAGCAGAACATGTCTTCCCCAGCTAAATCATTCATTTCCTAGAAATTAAAATAACATTCATAGGATTTCGAGGTTCTTCGTCTAGCGCAACATAAATCCTCAACTTTTCGTTAGGCATTTGTATAGCTCTGTTGTACGATCTGAACTCTAACTCGTTTTAGGATTCCAAGGTTGTCATCCGTTACGACCTAAATCCTCACATCTTCCAAGCTATTTGTGTGATCGTTTCACACGAATATAAGCCCTAAATAGATAAAATTGGCAGGATAAAACACTTGAATAATTCTCATCGAAACTGAAGCCAAACCATAGGGTAGATTGAGAAGTCACCGAGGATCTCCTCTAAATATGTGACATCCCCTAGTTCTTCTTCCATTGTCGAAACTGAAGCCAAACCATAGGGTAGACTAAGAAGTCACCGAGGATCTCCTCTGAATCTTTGAGATCTGTGACATCCCCTAGTTCTTCTTCATTTGGATTCTGTAATAAATGTTCCAAATTTGAGTCATTCCTCTTTCACACATCTTTGTCCGATTTCGTTGAAAAATTCAATCCTTTTGAAGTTCTTGAAGGTAATTTTTCCTGATTTTTATCGAGAGTATTCTTAAGTGACTTCGGTCATTTAAGATGTAATTAACTATAGGAGTTGCACTTATAGAAAATTTTTCCGAACCCAGCTTAAAATAAACTCTATTTAATTTTTCATATTAAATAGGAGAATTTTGTCGACAAACAAAACGGTTTCGGAGACCAAACGGACGTCATATATGTCTTAGTTTATTTGATCGAGTCTCATTCTCAAGTCCGTGTTTATCCCTCGGGATAGATACAAGGTATGAGGTAATTTGAGGTAGAGTGCATTTTCATTTAAACTGTGAAAATTATGGGGTCAGTTTGATTTCATATTTTTCTAAACTTAAATCTATATGTAAATTAAAACGTCATTGTGAAGCGGACGACGAGATTTTGATTCCGGCGACCGACAGCCTCCTACGGGCGACTCATCACACCTTAACATTTTATCGCCGACAGGCATTTAAGGCTAAGATTGACTTCCGCAAAGCACAAAATGCTTAAGAAAAAAAGGCAAATTGATTTTGCTAAATTGCATTGTTTATGATGATATTTTGCCATTGGAGTTTGAGCAGCGAAGCTTATTTTTTTCGTGTGGTTTTGTGTTATGAGTTTCTCATTTCATCTTATTAAGTGCTTGTTGTCGAGGACATGCTGCCTTGATTTATGAAGAATGATGATTTGAGGTGGTTGGTGATCAAGTGTTTGATCGACAGCTTCGAACATAGAGGAGGTTTGGCATAAGGGTGGACGTTGACTGAGAAGGAGGATGTGTGTGGATGAACTAGAGCATGTGCAGAAGTGGAAGCAACGAGCATGAATGTTGGGGGGGATTATTGCAGAATGGAGTTCAGAGGCATACACAATGCAATGTGGTTTGGAGAGGGGTTCTTGATCATGATTTGTGCGTGATTATTGCTTAAGTGTTTATTTTATATTGTAGAGTTTAGTGTGAATTTTGTGATGAGCAGTTTTGGTATCTTTTATCGTGGGAGTATATGGATTCTTTTTTTTAATTATGGAGGCTATTAGGATTTGAGTTCAATAGAGTTTTAAAATATTTCAAGATTATATATGGTTGATAAGATTTGGAGTGTATAAATAAAGATTTAAAGTGCATGTTACACCCCAACTGGCCCCTTCTTTAAGGGTCGGTTGAGGTTTGACATAGGCGAACAATTTAGCCAGACTAAATTCTCACTAACACTCATCCTAACTTGTAAAAAATGAATTGTCTAATTAAATTACCGCGAACATATGTGATACATTGTATTTCATAACTTATTCATATATATACTCGGAAGTGTGGAAAATCATTATCTCAAAATATGAAAACTATACATAGCTGCTAGATCCAATATAAATAACATTTATATATGACTGTAAATCAGTAACATGAGTTATCATTGTGCCTTGTGTTTTAGTCTAGCAGAAAGTTACTAGCTCTGTGATGGGATCATGGGGGCCTGTACCTTGTTTCAGATGCTAATTAGGGCAAATCAAAACCCAGTACAATCATGTCCACAGGCTCAAGTACCCAACAGTACTAAAATGTTACCTGTTTCTGTTTAGATTAAAATGCACAAGCTTTATCTAGGTTTATTTAGTTTTCCTTTTTTTTCCTATCTGATCAAGTTAGGCTGGCTCCATTGAGCACAGTTCAATTGCCTAGATAAATGAGTTTGCCAAAATGTAATTAAAAAAGATATATTTTCATTACAAACAATCATTGAAATTAAATTTAACCAACATTTAAGCAAATGAATGGAGCATGTGAGATGTGTTGTATATTACAATATATAACAATACTCAACATCTTTTCAATCAGGAGAACCCTGAAGTGTGGGATATTTCTCCATTGTATTTTCATGTTATAAGCTTTGAATATTATTCCTGGCTCTCAGAGAATTCCTACTAGGAGTTGTTTTCGAGTGTTATTTTTTGTGTAAAATTTATCCCTGAATGTCCTTTAAACTTAGTAATGTTGTTAAGTGGTGACCAAAATTACAATACCGCCCCTATTATTTAGTCCTACAATGTTCAATACTGTGTCAACTTTATGTAGAGTACTATTTCTGAATGGTTGGCACTATTGTTGATTCACCATGCACAAAGGATTTTACCGCTTTGATGTCAAAAGCACAATTTGATTCACGGGCTTCAGTTCTCTGAAGGAAATGCTCACCCTTTGTCTGGTGAGTACTGTGTGGCCACCGAGATTGAAAGAAATATTAAACATATATCCTCAAATGGGAATCCTTTTTGTTAATGTGGAACTGCATCTAATTTAGTGCATTAAAAGTTGAGACAGAACATGAGACTTTGTCATGCAGTTGATGGAATTTTTTCTTTATAACAGTTAATGTTGCATAAGTGCAGTTTTTTTTTTTTTTTTTTTTTTTTTTGTTTCTGTACTTTTGGTTAATTGTCCATTCATTTTTTCTTCATCAATATTCCGACCATTAGTAATCACCCCTCTTTTGAATCTACGTAGGTACTGGGATACTAGGCAAGCACAGCCAGTTCACACTCAGCAACTTCCTGAAAGATGCTATGCTCTAACTGTGCGGTATCCCTTGATGGTTGTTGGCACTGCTGATAGAAATCTCATAGTTTTTAATTTACAAAATCCTCAGGTATGATGAGTACATATTTGGTCGAGTTACTTTCTAAGGGAAATTGGTGAATGTAATTTTATTTGTGAGATATCATGATGACATGCTTCCTGGACTTATTTATCGTTAATTTGAGAACCTTATATATATATATAT